TGGAGTGATAAAGGGCACTGAATCAAAAGGTTTCCACAAGGAAGACATTTCAGGGAGAAGAGAAGAGATCTTCCATTTATTCAGATGACCCTGAGCACAGGGTCAATTCCCCGAATGGTTGAGGTGGCTCTGTTGTGTCCTCCGCAAAAAGGGGATTGTCACAGAAACAGTTAAAACCTCTGCACTTGACAAACTAGAATAGAATAGAACTGGAAGGGACCTTGGAGATCTTCTAGTCCAGCCCCCTGCTCAAGCAGGGGAACGTATACCGTCTCAGACAGGTGACTGTCCAGTCTCTTCTTGAAGTCTCCAGTGATGGAGCGCCCACAACTTCTGGTGGCAAGCTGTTCCACTGGTTGATTGTCCTCACTGTCAGGAAGTTTCTCCTTAATTCCAGGTTGCTTCTCTCCTTGATCAGTTTCCAACCATTGTTTCTCGTCCTTCCGTCTGGTGCTTTGGTGAACAACCTGACCCCTTCTTCTTTGTGGCAGCCCCCTAGATACTGGATCACTGCTATCATGTCTCCCCTATTTCTTCTTTTCTTCAGACTAGCCAAATCCAAGTCCCGCAGCCGTTCTTCATATGTTTTGGTCTCCAGGCCTTGGATCACCTTAGTTGCTCTTCTCTGAATTTTTTCCAAACTCTCAACATCTTTTGTGATATGGTGTCCAAAACTGGCTGCAGTATTCCAGGTGTGGTCTTATTAGGATTTTATAAAAAGCGGTACTAATACGTTGCGTGAACTTGATGCTAGGCCTCTGTTTATACAACCAGGATTGTATTAGTTTTTTTGGCTGCTGCTGCACACTGCTGGCTCGTGGTCAAGTGATTGTCCACTAGGACTCCAAGGTCCCTCTCACAGTTACTGTTTTTAAGCCAGTAACTTGAAATGAAAGAGGCTGGGTCAGCCTTCCCAGGTAGACGGACATAAAACAGACAGATGAGCTAATTCTACTTTTATTGTAAGGCTACAATAACAGAATCTCGCAACTCTGAAAGGACAAATCTCCCTCTTTCTTTTTACAGTGATAATGGAGGGTGGATCCATTCTTAGATTCTTTCTCTTCCCCTCATGCAGTTGAGGCTAGCCCCTCTTTTATGTTTAGCCCAGTATATCTAGTTTAATGAAAAGAAGGACGAGGGGGAACATGTTAGCAGTCTTCCAGTATTTGAGGGACTGCCCCAAAGAAGAGGGGTGGGGTCAACTTATTTTCCAAAGCACCAGAGGGCAGGACAAGAAGCAACGGATGGAAACTAATCAAGGAAAGAAGCAACCAGTGGAACAGCTTGCCTTCAGATGTTGTGGGTGCTCCATCACTGCAGGTCTTCAAGAAGAGACTGGATAGCTGTTTATCTGAAATAATAATAATAATAATAATAATAATAATAATAATAATAATAATAATAATAATAATAATAATAATAATAATAATAATAATGTAACCCAAAACAACTGGAGCACCACTTGAACACAATTGGCATTGACAAATTCGCCACTAGTCAATTGCAAAAGGCGGCCTTACTAGGAACTGCTTCCATCCTGCGACGAGATCTGTAATACCATCAAACATCCACATCTGCCTATCCCAGGTCTTTGGTAAGGACTCGATAGGTAGACAAAAATGCCAGATCCAGTCTGAACATCTGGCTGACTGTGCGATGATTAATAATAATAATAATAATAATAATAATAATAATAATAATAATAATAATAAATTTGCAATCCCAAAACAACTGGAGCATCACTTGGACACCATGGGCATTGACAAAAATGCCAAATCCAGTCTGAACAACTGGCTGACTGTGCGATGATCAATAATAATAATAATAAAGTTGGAAGGTACCTTGGAGGTCATCTAGTCCAACCCTCTGCTCAGGCAGGAAACCCTATACCATTTCAGACAAATGGCTGTCCAGTCTCTTCTTAAAACCTTCCAGTGTTGGAGCATTTGCAGCTTCTGGAGGCAGGTTGTTCCACTGGTTAATTGTTCTAACTGTCAGGAAATTTCTCCTTAGTTCTAGGTTGCTTCTCTCCTTGCTTAGTTTCCATCCGTTGCTTCTTGTCCTGCCTTCAGGTGCTTTGGAGAATAGCTTGACTCCCTCTTCTTTGGGGCAGCCCCTGAGATATTGGAAGACTGCTATCATGCCCCCCCTCGTCCTTCTCTTCATTAAACTAGACATACCCAATTCCAGCAACTGATATGTTTTAGCCTCCAGTCCCCTCATCATCTTTGTTGCTCTTCTCTGTACTCTTTCTAGAGTCTCAGCATCTTTTTTTCATCGTGGTGACTAAAACTGGATGCAGTATTCCAAGTGTGGCCTTACCAAGGCATTGTAAAGTAATATTAATACTTCACATGATCTTGATTCTATCCCTCTGTTAATGGTCTAGGGCAGGGCTTTTCAACCTTTTCACCCATTGTACCACTTTTAGGATATGGCAACATCCGAGTACCACCAGTCGCCTAGCAAGGTGCCAAAAACTTGATGACCCAAAAAAAAAAAGGAAAAAAGTGATAAAGTACAGGTAGTCGTCGACTTACAATAGTTCACTTAATGACTGTTCGAAGTTACAATGGCACTGAAAAAGTGCCCCCCAAGCCACGGCCGAGCAAGACACCTGCCTGCCCACCCGGTGGCGCTCTTCCTCCTGTCCGAGGTTTTCATTGTTGTGAGCATTTCTGTTGAGGATTGGCAGCGGGGGTGGGGTAGGGGGTGTTTGGTTTTTATTCCCCCCCGTCTGCTGGGTGGTTGCAGCAGGTTTTGGTCACTTCACATGACCCTGGGCCACTGTGACCGTCATAAATATGAATCAGTTGCCAAGCATCTGAATGTAAATCACAAGACCCTGGAGATGCTGCAACATTCCAGCTGATTGGCGCTTCTTCTGGGCTCAGCTGGATCCTGGCGCTGATCCTGGCGCTTCCGCTGAGCCCTGACAGCCCTGCAGCTCCAGCCGTCTCTCGCTCAGGCTTGTGCGGTGCTGCCACCGGTTCAGCTCATTCCCCTCCCCTGCTACCACTTTTCTAGTGGTACCACCTGCCAGGTGCCAATGTACCACCTGCCACGTACCACCTGCCAGGTGCCAATGTACCACAGGTGGTACCCGTACCACTGGTTGAAAAGCCCTGGTCTAGGGCAGGGGTCTTCAAACTTGGCCCTTTTATGACTGGTGGACTTCAACTCCCAGAATTCCTCAGCCAGGCACGGTGGCTGAGGAATTCTGGGAGTTGAAGTCCACCAGTCATAAAAGGGCCAAGTTTGAAGACCCCTGGTCTAGGGTCTCCTGCTTGAGCTTGAGGGGTTGGACTAGAAGACCTCCAAGGTCCCTTCCAAATCTATTATTCTGTATCTGATGATCCCCTCAGGCAGGACCTTGGCCTTGTCTCTCAAGTTCATTTCTACAACATACCACTACAGAGGCTAGCTAGACAGTCACCTATCAGAGACGCTGCAGCGGTTCCTGCCCTGAGCAGGGGTTGGACTAAATGACCTCCAGGGTCCCTTCCAACTCAATGATTCTATAAGAAGAGCGGTGCAGTCAGTGACCTGAGAACTTGCTCTCCAAGAAAAAAGAGCAGATTCCCTTCTGATCTCTTGAGAACCGGATGACCTGAGAGAGGAACCCCGCCTTAGGCAGCCGGCCAACGCCCGGCCTTCCCTCCTCTCAGCATCACTAGGGCTGGAGTGAGAGCCGTGTGTGTGTGTGGCCTTGTGCAATCTCCCCTCCGACAACAACAGGGTGTGTGGCTTTGTCGTGCCCTGTCTTCAGAACCGGATTTTTTTCTGTCAGCAAGATCCAGCGCCTCTTCCCCGAAACTCATCTGCCTGCCAAAGCAAACAGCGAGGAGGGAAGGCGCAGCCGAGGCTCCGGAGCCGGGATGGGGATCAGGCCAGGGATACCTGGGGGGTGGGGGACAGGGTCCCCGGGCAACGCCCGGTTGGGGCTGAAAAGCCAAGGCGTTTTCACTCCCCAAAGGGCACCGTGGACTGGGACTTAAGCACCAACAGCTCCTCTGGAATAAAAAAATAATAAAATAAAATAAAATAACAAAATAAAATAATAAAATAAAATAAAATAATAAAGTAAAATAAAAAAAATGAAATGAAATGAAATAATGATAGAAGAGAGTATTTGTAGCTCAGCGTTGAACTGTGGGGTCCTTGCACTGATGATGTTACCTAGTTGGGTCATGAAATGTCTGCAAGAAAACCACTGAGCTCAGAGAGCACCAAGGACCCCATAGTCTTATTCCTCCTCCTCCTCCTCCTCCTCCTCCTCCTCCTCCTCTTTTTCCTCTTCTTCCTCAAAGCCCCCTCCCTTCTAGCATAGATGATGTTACCTAGTTGGGTCATGAAACGTCTGCAAGAAAACCACCAAGCTCAGAGAGCACCAAGGACCCCATAAAGTAAAAAATAACAAAATAAAATAATAAAATAAAACAACAAAATAATAAAATAAAATAAAATAACAAAATAATAAAATAAAATAACAAAATAATAAAATAAATAAAAATAAAAATAAAATAACAAAATAAAATAACAAAATAAAATAACAAAATAATAAAATAAAATAAAATAATAAAATAATAATCAAATCAAATCAAATAATCAAATCAAATCAAATCCTCACCCATCATGGCTGTCCCTGAGGATCCTGGGAGGTTGCCCTCCCATCTGGAAATTCTCAAGGTGGGATTCATCCAAGATTCAGCCGGAGGCGTGAATGTCTCTGCGGCCGGATCCCATCGCAAGGGGTCCTCAACGTGCAGCTATTCCTTTAGCAACTGTTCAAAGTTACCACAGCAGTGAAAAAAGTGACTTGCAACTTCCAACAAGCAAGGCCAATGGGGGAAGCTGGACTCGCTTAAAGACTGTGTGCTTCACTTAACAACTGCAGTGGTTTGCTTAACAACCATGGCAAAAAAGGTCATAANTTAAGGACTACCTGTATTTCTGATTTTAAAGAACAACCTGCTCCTGCCACTTCAAGCGTCATTATGGAGGTTTTTAAGAAGAGACTGGACAGCCACTTGTCTGAAATGGTATAGGATCTCCTACTACAACAGGGGGTTGGACTAGAGGACCTCCAAGGTTCCTTCCAACTCTATTATTCTGTTATTTATGACCAAAATTAAGCCCAAAATTTCTGTTGCTAATTGAGACATTTGTTATGTGAGGTTTGCCCTGTTTTACGACCTTACTTGCCACAGTTGTTAAGTGAATCACTGCAGTTGTTAAGTTAGTAACATGGTTGTTAAATGAATCAAGCTTCCCCTATTGAGGTTGCTGGTCAGAAGGTCGCAAAACAGAATCACATGATCCTGGGACACTGAAACCATCATAAATATGAGTCGCCAAGTGCCCAAATTTTGATTGTGTGACCCTGGGGACGCTGCAACGGTCTTAAGTGTGAAAAATGGTCCTAAGTCACTTTTTCCCATGGTGTTGTAACTTCGGTCACTAAATGAACTGTTGTATTCCATTTCTTTGCTCTCTGTCGGTGCAGAGAGACACAAATTATTTTGCCCAACTGTAATATATCTAAAGTCATCAACTATGGTTTCACTTTTACCCATTTGAACACATTTTACAGGGGGTGTTATGAAACATGGTTTGTCCTTAACCATAAATTGCTACCAGTTTATTTACTGGTTGCTTAAGTCCCTTCTAGTCTGTGTTCCCACAACCAGCCTGCTTCCCACCAAATGGTCAGCAGTGTGCTTGCACCTGCCAAAAAAGCCAACACAGTGCTGGGCTGCATTAACAGAGGGATAGAATCAAGATCACGTGAAGTGTTAATACCACTTTACAATGCCTTAGTAAGGCCACACTTGGAATACTGCATCCAGTTTTGGTCACCACGATGTAAAAAAGATTTTGAGACTCTAGAAAGAGTACAGAGAAGAGCAACAAAGATGATCAGGGGATTGGAGGCTAAAACATATAAAGAACGGTTGCTGGAATTGGGTATGTCTAGTTTAACGAAGAGAAGGACGAGGGGGGACATGATAGCAATATTCCGGTATTTGACGGACTGCCATAAAGAAGAGGAGGGGTCAGCTTATTTCCCAAAGCACCAGAAGGCAAGACAACACCCAACAGGTGGAAACTAACCAAGGAAAGAAGCAACCTAGAACTAAAGAGAAATTTCCTGACAGTGAAAACAATTAACCAGCGGAACGGCTTGCCACCAGAAGTTGTGGGTGCCCCATCACTGGATGTTTTTAAGATGAGATTGGACAACCGTTTGTCTGAAAGGGTATAGTTTTTCCTGCCTGAGCAGGGGGTTGGACTAGAAGACCTCCAAGGTCCCTTCCAACTCTGTTGTTCTGAATTCTGTATTCTCTCGCCTTCCAGGTCGAAAGCTGGAACAAGCACGACCAGAAGCTGTTTGACGCCGTAGAGAAAGGGGACGTGACCCGGACGTCCCTTTTTGCGTCGAGGAAAACAGCCCACCCCACCAAGCTCAACGCCCTGGGCCAATCTGCGTACGTAAGTTTTTCCCCTTGGCCTTCAAGAGGGACAGTTTGGCTGAAGGGCAGTGGCCTTAGCTACAATTGACTGAACCTGGGGCTATGTGGTTGTGGGAACTCGGCCCTTGGCTCAGAAGATTGTCTGTAGAGATCATCCCATTCAAGAATGTGGCTTACAGGTAGTCCTCGAGTTACGACCATCATGCAGCCTGGCCATTACAGTCCTAACTCCTGAATATCATAAAATGGGTCAGTTACTTGTCCAACCCAATTTAATGGCCCCTTTTTTTGCAGAAATCATCACAGTTGTTAAGTTGAATGACCACAACCTTCACTAAGTGGTGGTTAAATAAATCTTGTGCTCATTGAGTGAACCAATGTTACACTACGGGTGCGGTTTTGCCCAAAACTGGAAGTAAACAATATTTTTTTTGCAAAACCACCATAAAGCTGGTCACATGATCCCAGAATCCTGCAAAGAGCCATCAATGCAACCTGGTTGCTAAGTCCCCAAAGTTGGTTATGTAAGTGCAGTTGGATCTGGATTGTAAGAATCCCCCCCCCCCCCCGGTAAGTTCATCAAAACTTCACCCATTTGCTAAGTCACCGGTCATAAGTTGAGTCTTCATCGGGAACAGAAGTTGTCAACCTGAACTTAGGCGCAAGCCAAGTGGCATAGTTCCAAACTAAGAATCATGGCTTGTTAGAGGACTTGGGGGCTATTAAACATAACACGGTCTGCCATTGCATTCTTAACCAAGTTTGGCATAGACAATTACATTAGTAATCGATTACCGTACAGATAGTCCTTGATTTACAACCGTTCCTTTAATGACCATTCAGAGTTACAATGGTACTGAAAAAACTGGCGTGGCAAGTTCTCACATTTGTGACGGTTGCCACATCCTTATGATCATGTGATCAGATTTTGGGTGCTTGGCAACCTGGATATACTTGTGATAGTTGCAGCATCCCAGGATCATGTGATCGCCATATGTGATCTTCCCAGCTTCCGACAAGCCACATCAATGGGAGAAATTGGATTGCTTAATAAACGCGTGATTCATTTCACCACTGCAGTGATTCATTTAACAGCTATCACAAAATACGTTGTAAAATCAGGCATGATTGACTTAGTAACCGCCTTGCTTAGCAACCAGGAATTTTGAGATCAATCGTGTGGTCCTAAAAATCGTCTATTTTTGTGCACTCATTGTACATCCTGGGTGGAGGAATTTCTTTCAAGGACAGGATGTAAATTCCTACTTGTATAAAACTTGGTTTGCCACATGTATGTGGCTTAAAGTAAAACCTTGCCTAAGAAGTCTTCTGGATGCTGTTTTTGGAGATGGATCAGGAGAGACCAAGAAAGAGCCAAGGGAAGGGGCTAGGAGAATTTGCCATGGCCACCGCGCCACGGGACTGTGGGACAATATTAATATTAATATTGGTGGTTAATACAACTGCCTAGCATGTAGACTGCCTAGGTTCGAATCCCATAAAGGGTGTGGCTAGCTGATGAGGGCTAATAAGCCCAAAATAGCTATAGTAGTCTCCCACTTAATTCTTTAACTCTTTGTCAGCAAAAAAGAAATCTGAATATTAATATTAATATTAATCATTTCATTTAGTTGTTTTTATTATTGACTACATTTTCGCCAATATTATTATACTTCTCAAATCTTCTGTGGAATTCCTAGCGGCTAGCCTTTGCTGGTGGGAAATTCTGCTTCCCCCCCCCTTTATTCATGAGCCATGATGGTGCAGTGGTTAGAATGTGGTATTGCAGGCTAACTCTGCCTACTGCCAGCAGTTCGATCCTGACCGGCTCCAGGTTGACTCAGCCTTTACCAGCCGAGGTTGGTAAAATGAGGACCCAGATTGTTGGGGGCAAATATGCTGGCTCTGTAAACCGCTTAGAGAGGGCTGTAAAGCGCTGTGAAGTAAGTATATAAATCTATTGCTATTATTGCAGGTTCCATCTGGCAGCTTCCAAGGGACTTACGGAGTGCCTCACCATCCTGCTCACCCACGGGGCCGACGTCAATGATAAGAACGAGGACGGTGGGTACCAGCCCAAAGACCCCCTCCCCCTTTTCCCAGGGCATTTGCACAAAGGGGTTGGTTGGGTTTTGCAGACCAGTCATTTCCATGTTTGAGGGACATCTGGCTGGTAAGAGAGGATCATGAGAAGACACATTTCAACAGCCCCCCCCCCCCTTTCTCTCCATTGCTTTGACGTCATGAGGCTCCCGGGGTGGGCAATTAATTTTTCCCCAGGGGCCACATGAGAAACTAAGACTGCGTTAACAGAGGGACAGAATCAAGATCTCGTGAAGTGTTGATACCACTTTATAAGGCCACACCTGGAATACGGCATCCAGTTTTGGTCACCACGATGTAAAAAAGATGTTGAAAAAGTGCAGAGAAGAGCAACAGAGATGATTAGAAGTCTGGAGGCTAAAACATATGAAGAACGGTTGCAGGAATTGGGCATGGCCAATCTGGAGAAAAGAAGGACGAGGGGCGACATGATAGCTGTCTTCCATTATTTGAGGGGCTGCCACAAAGAAGAGGGGGGGGGGTCAACTTATTTTCCAAAGCACCAGAAGTCACAACAAGAAACAACGGATGGAAACGAATCAAGGAAAGAAGCAACCTGGAATTAAGGAGAAACTTCCTGACAATGAGAACAATTAACCAATGGAACTGCTTGCCTCCAGAAGTTGTGGATACTTCATCACTGGAGGTTTTTAAGAAGAGACTGGACAGCTATTTGTCTGGAATGTTATAGGGTTTCCTGCCAGAGCAGGGGGTTGGACTAGAAGACCTCCAAGGTCCCTTCCAGTTCTGTTATTCTGACACAGATGTGGATGTCCAAATGAACAGTCCTCCACAGCAGGCTGTGAAGGTGTATAGGCATGCATGCACGTACATAAATTAAAAACGAAAACAGCAGTTGCCTTCAAAATAAGCAGTTGTATTGGGTGCATGGCATACATTTGATTTAATCAATTTACATTTGATTTTTAATTTCCGATTGACCTCAGGCAGGCCAGACAGGGACCGGATGTGGCTCGGGGACCATAAAATGCCCAGGCCTGAGCTAACATGTCCACAAGGTCAGGGGTCAATTGGTTGACAATGACTGGAGTCACACCACAGTGTAGATTAGGCTAGCATCTGTTTGGTCCTTAAGGCTTAGTGTGTTGTGAGAACTCAGTCCCTGGCCTACACTTTTGAATCATTTAGACACAGATAGTCCTTGATTTACACAACTGAGCCTGAAATTTTGATCTTAAGTTGTTGCGGTCACAAAGTGGGTCAACTGTTTTTACAATGGTCATTAAATGAGTCACCACAGTCATTATGCAAATCCAGCATTTCCAATGTAGGTAGTCCTTGATTTACGACCATAATTGAGCCCTAAATTTCTGTTGATAAGTGAGACAGTTGTTAAGTGAGTTTGGGCCCATTTTACGACCTTCTGTGCCACAGTTGTTACGCGAATCACTGCAGTTGTTAAGTCAGCAACCCGGTTGTTAAGTGAATCTGGCTTCGCCATTGACTTCGCTGGTTAGAAGGTCGCAAAAGGGGATCATGTGACCGGGGGACACTGCAACCGTCATAACTATGAGTCAGTTGCCGAATGTCCGAATTTTGATCACGTGATCATGGGGCTGAGGCAATGGCCATAAGTGTGAAAAACGGTCATAGGTCACTTTTTTCAGTGCTGTTGTAACTTCAAACAGTCACTAAACGAAAAGTTGTGAGTCGAGGACTACCCGTAGGCATTTTTTGCCGTTTTCTGCCCCCAGCTGCAGAATCCCAGTCATGTTACCACAGGATGCTGCAACTGGTTGCAACTGCAAAGCCGAACTGCAAGTGCCCAAAATGTGATCATGTGACCTGGGTAGATGCAGCAGTTGTAACTTTGAAGACAGTTGTAAGTAGCTTTTCTGTGTGCAAAAAAAAAAAAGGTTCAATCAATCAATCAATTTCAACTTCTTGTGGGAAAAAAAAGATCTCGCAAAGTTGGAATTGATTGATTGAACTTTTTAGTCCCACCCAGTCTGTCATTACCACCGCAGCCACGCCCGGCCAATGGGCCACACCCACCCGGCACCCGGCGATACATAAGTGGGTTTTGGGTTGCAGTTTGGGCACTTGGTCTCTAAAAGGTTCGCCATCACTGGTCTAGGGCAGGGGTGTCAAACTTGCAACGTCATATGATGTATCGTGAGTTTTTTTCCATTGCCAGCAATGGGTGGGCGCGATTTCGCAATGACGCATCCGGCCCGCCGGCCAGCAGTTTGACACCCCTGGTCTAGGGTCTCCTGCTTGAGCAGGGGTTGGACTAGAAGACCTCTGAGGCCCCTTCCATCCCTCTTATTCTACGGTTTATCTTTTTGCAGGCAGCACAGCTCTGCACCTAGCCACCATCGCTTGCCAGCCCCAGTGCGTGAAGGTCCTCATCCAGGTAAAACACTTCTTCTCCGTTGGGACCCCTATGAGGCCCGTTCACAGCACCCTAAAGCTAAAGGCACCTCTGAGCGTGTGCAGTGACATTTCAGCTTGGCGGGTTTTAGAAGGTTTAGCCCGGGGGGGGGGGGAGAGGGAGGTTGTTGCTACCCTTTGGGAATTTTTGTGTGGTTTCTGCCCTATTCCTCTGGTAAAATGTCCCCCCCCCCATTGAGAGGGCTCTGAGCTTGTTTTCAAGGAGGAGAAGGAGAGGAAAAAGACTGTGGGGTCCTTGGTGCTCTCTGAGCTTGGTGGTTTTCTTGCAGACGTTTCATGACCCAGCTAGGTAACATCATCAGTGCTAGAAGGGAGGGGTGTTTGTGGAGAGGAGGAGGAGGAGGAGGAGGAGGACAGTGGTGTCCTTGGTGCTCTCTGAGCTTGGTGGTTTTCTTGCAGATGTTTCATGATCCAGCTAGGTAACATCATCAATGCTAGAAGGGAGGGGTGTTTTTGGAGAGGAGGAGGAGGAGGAGGAGGAGGAGGAGGAGG